AAAAGAGCTACAAAAATATTTTTTGAAATTAAAAAAAACAAAACAAACCCCCAAAAAACAGTAAAAGCCTAAACAAATAATGTTTAGGATACTAAAACATCGTACATAAATTATGAAGCTCATAATTAATTTCTTTGTTCATAACTAATTACTGTGCATCAATGACATGTATGTATCAAGACCAAGAGATATAAGATCAATTAAAAAAACAACATAATCCATCCCCCCTCCCACCCACCCTCCTCTGAATCCATTGCCTTTTTATTCATCTCACYCACCCGCTGGTCTCCAAATACACTGAAAACCAAGAGATAAGAGCCAAAACAATTCTACAGTAATTCACCTGTGGCTCTTTCTTTGTATCTACTACTCTTTCTCCTTCCATCATCTTTATGGCTTTTAGAGAACAAAATCTTTTTGAAATGTGATGTTCTGAAGTACAATGAACATACAGCTAATTGTACAACCATAGAACAAATAACTTCAGTGTATAACCCAGTCTATAGAAAAGCTAAATTAACAATTGCAGCCATTTTCAGTACAGGCAGACCCCACCGTCACTTCCAAAACAATGTGGGGTCTGCACCACCTTCCTTGCTACACGTGATTTATTACAAGCTGTATTTTTCCCTTCGTAATGCTCAGGATCTGCAGTTACTACACTGGCACTGGCACCATTAACCATACATTTTCCAAGGGACTGAAGCAGTATCTTCAAAACCAGACAAATAGACAGTGGTGTTAATATCCTACGACACCAAAACTTCTTTATTAAAAAAGTCACAGTGAGAAATTTTTGCTACTTTAATTTTTGCTTTCAACTTTCTAAGGTAACAGTTCAAAGAGAAAAATAATTAGATTATTGTATAAAATGATGACAAAATCTTACAAAGGTTTTCAATGACTGGTTTAACTGAATCTGCTTATTCCACCTACTTTTCCAGAATCTTTCTTAGAACCGAGTGCTCACTATCTCAACTTCAATGTAAAAAATGTCTTTGAACAAATCTGTTCTCCATTGAGAGAAAAAAAAATACAATAAAAATCAGCTTAAAATAAATTTATTAAACAATACAAAAATAAGCATGCTGGAAATCAAGATACATAAATAACATACAATGCAAATGAAAAATGGAAAACGAGACAGGTAACTTAACAACTGAGCCAAAAGGTACAACACAAATGCTAAAATAAAACTTTAAAAAGCATTTACATTTCTAATGAAATGTTAATGATGCTGACAAAGAAAAACAAACAAACAGCTAAAATGCTTGAATATCAAGAATTGCTATTACTGTAGCACAGGTGAACACTAAAACCGTTGCAGACTTCACACATGGAATGACTAAACTCTGTGGGCCCAGCCTTTCCCACCTGCCCAGGGTGAGTGATGCTCCTGGCACATCMAACCATGGCCTYGGCCCCTCCCCGGGTCCCTGCCATCAACAGGAGCCATCTGGCAGGCCAGGGCAAGAAACTACAAGTGTGGGCAAGTTATAAAATTATTGCTTCAGAGGAGTCTCCTCCTGACCCTTCCTATCTAGAAGCTTTCCTCAAATCTGAGGCGGGCTTCAAAAGCATATATTACAGAATCGTAATATATATATATACATATAAGATTGTTTAAGCTGTACCCTAAATATTCTTATTATGAATATTAAAGATCTAGTAGTTTCCTGATTCTTGKATTTTCCATGCAGGACTTGACCCCACCACAAGTTTTGCATGTGGAAAAACCTTCCCTCTTAGCCACATCTTTACAAGTGGCTTCAAACAGTACTAAAAATCAAGGTGGGTAGAATCAGACCAAGCAAATYCTGCATTGTGCCTCTTCCATTTTTAATTAGATCAGTAATTCATCCAGCAGCATGTTACCACTGTAAATACTTTCCATTAGCAGCACAGACACATTACATTCCCTCTTGCAACTGAGATACTGGTATTTCAGGTAAAGTAGTTCTGCAGGRTCTGAATGCTTGTTATGTCTCTGTAGCTACTGGTATAAAATCCTCAAACAGGCAAGACATTTTTATAATTCAAGTCTTTGCCTTTATTTTCAGGATAAGCACTAACAAACCTAACCTTATCAGAGATAAGATTATAAAACAGTTATTATTCAGCAACTGATGACTGACACTACTGACATCTGCACCACAGATTTACCTCTTCATCCCAGTAGGGTATTGAATTCACTGAAAATTGGTGTTCTGTATTGTTTTGTTTCAATATTTTCATCCTAGGCTTCAARGACAGGAAGCCCATCCTTTTACAATACAGTGCTAAATGAAGATTATTCAGGGTTTAGTCAGAGCTWTTTCAAATGTCTATGCCAAACTAACAATATCTAAACAGAATAACTAAGAGCAGCTTGCTTTCTCAGAGAACGGTCAGCTCTGTTTTATGCATCTTCCTAAACTCATTAACATCCAGATGGGTCAAAAAAGGGGCAGGAAAAATYTAACTCTCCCATTAGGCAAAACTCACATATCAACATTTTGGAGTTTTAGATAAACAAAAAAGGCACAGGGAGTGGGGAAGGTAGCAGTGAGAGGAAGTGAAGGTGTGACTACAGAATTGTTTATCATTGCCTCTTAAAATCCTCAACCAGMTAATGCCATTAATCATTGCTTGGACAAGTTTCCCCAGTTTGATARATCAGGACTCTGCATGATGTCTCCAGAGATGGGACATATCAGATTATTTGCAAATTTATAAAGGAGAAAACTTTACAGAGAATGATTTCCTAATTTTTTTGCATTATTAAGAATCTAATACTTGCAAGTGTTAAGAATGTAGCAAGTCTTTGACCTCAGTCCAGAATTGCCTATAGAGCCTATCTGAAGTTCAAATATATCATYTGGAGCTAYACCCTYACTYAAGATGCTCWAATAATCAAATTATGCAGTTTAAGKGATGCAGCTGCCTGTAGAAAAATGCAAGTCTTCTTCCTCAGCAAGCTGTCAGACCTGCAAACTCAACATCATTTCAAAAAACAGCAATTAATGATAACTTTTAAGAATTTGCTCGTGTGTAAGTAAGYGAAACCTCTGATCTTCATACATGAATATGCACACACATTAATGGTAGAAAAAAACAGCTAATCATAAACAGTTCTAGTAAGATTTACCTATCTGCTTCCCTCTGAACCTATTTCCTGCTCACTGCTCAGCTGGTTACCACTCTGAACCCCAGATTGCTTACATTCCTTTCCAGGGTGGAGCACAGCCCTCTGTGTAAGGCAGAATTCTGAGTCATAACTACCAGCTGGCAGCACAGGCAGCAAGAGAGACACYCAAAATAGCTGGGTCAGAAATCTCTCTGCTGCATTAGTTAACTTGCAAACAAGACATTTTTTTTCCTCCTCCTCACTTCTCCCACTCCTGCCCAGCCATTTTTGTTTTCTTTATTTCAACGTTAGCATTAATAATTGGTCTGATTAAAAAAAAAAAAATAGCCTTCACTAGCATGGCATATGCAAAGAGTCCATTTCTGTTCACATTTGAAAGCTCACATTWAAAAAACCCTGATGTGGTAATAATAAGACTCAGAACCTATCTCCATTTAATATACAATCATTTAGAAATTCAGGAATTTGCTGTGTTTTGCTGAACACCAGTTTATATTTTAATTAGTATTCTGTCTTTACATGCTGACCCTGCTCAGTGGATACAAGTTCTTGCTCAGCCTCAAAGTTCCTTTACTTAAAATATAAACAAAAATAAACAGATATATACCACCTTTGTGATATATCTTCAAAAAGACTAAGATTTACCTTTACTTTCTTTTTTTTTTTTAACTAAATGTGTTCTAAGTAACTACAAAAGTCAGTTTACAGCTTTGGGTTTGTTGTTTGCATATGCTTTTTCCCCACACACCCTTGAACTTCGACAGCCTTTTTGGTATTGCATACAGAATTTACACAAATGTATATATAAATGAAACACCAGGCAAACAATATTCAAATCAAAGTTAAATCTAGAGATGCTTGAGGGTTTTTAAAATGAAGAATTTAATGAAACTAGAACCCATTCGTTTAGTTCTGCTCTCCCCGACCTTCCATTCTATACACTACGGTTCTGGAGATGTCCTCGTTTGATTCAGGTGACACTTTTTTCCATACTGTTTCTTTTAAAGCAAGTTCTTGCTGGAGATTCTCATAGTCCATTGGTCCAAAGGAATGCTAGTTGTTCAAGCAACATACATTATTTATTAGTGTACTTGAAGGAAAAAAAAAATCCATACTTGCAGTCATTGCTAACAGACTCAAGTTTTTTTTCTCTTTTCCAGTTAAAAGAAAATCAGATTCAAAACCGGGTATTTTTAGATGCACACATGCAAATAGAAGCACTTTAAAAATCATTCTACTAYATCTTCTCCTATTGAAATCTTCATGCCTTAGTCAAAACATTAATGGTATTGAAAACAAAGAGGTTTTCCTTATCTCAACACCCTCACACTTGTATTTTTCTGTGCATGTAGCTGAAGTGGATTCAGTTCATTCCCAGACACTGCTTATGCTGCTCCCTAAGTAACAGGCTCTTGTCTGCAGTACTRTTCATGCCTGAATTCACTGCCTGTGCAACTCTCAGCTGCTCATGCGGTGTCAGAGATATCCCCTGAAAATCCAGCTGAACACAGAGCCCGTGCACTGCAGCACAGAACAGAAAGGCTATGCCCACCAGCTGGTCAAGTCTTTATTAAAGTAAACCAGTACAGTAAAACTCTTTGCAACTTAGAGCAGATTCCATCTACTAAATCTAGCAGGGGAGATGAACTGCATGAAATGGAGTTACTAATCTGCTGTGAAATTCCACTGCACAAAACCCTGTGACAGCGTGGTCCACCCAGGTTAAGTGTCCACTAATAATGTACCCTAACTAGATTATCTGAAAGCTTTGATGCAATACATGTCATTGAGCAGTTTGGCATTCAGAGAAGAACTTTACAGATTTGTTCTGAAGTCTACAAGCAATACTCACTGAAYACAGACAGCAACTTACCCGCTGATCACCACCTTCTCTGCGAGGATCAAGCTTTTTTGCAAAGTGTCTCAAATTATCGTAGTTATGGAAATTGCACAAAGAAACCAGATCCTGCAGATAGTTAKAGAACATGAATTATTATCTGCATGTGATASCCAAATGCTTATAAGTTAATAATAATATCACCATTTACATTTTACATCATATCCTAGTAACTTAAACCAATAAGAAGCTTATTTAATAAATCAATACCAATGTCTGTAAGGCCTTTTGAACATAACACAGCTATATGATAAGGTCCCAATAAAACCTTTAAACTCCTTCTTAAAGAAGTACAAAACAAGTAGCAGTTTGTAAAAGATGTTTTAATAACTTCCTACTTCAGCTGTATGGAGCACTCCAAGAACGGAAAGAACAGCCTGGGCAAGTCCAGTACATCAAATTTCAATCAAAATTTTGAAACAAGGAAATGTGTGACATAATGGATTCTAAGTCAGTTTGAATTACAACATAAAAGGTTATAATTACCAAACTTGGCTCTGCTGTTCTATTTTTAAAAGTGAATGTAACATTCATGTTATTTGCATGCCAAGATCATGTATCAGCTTTTAGGTCTCACTGCAGCACAGAACTAATGCAGTAAATCCTTCACCCACCCCGCTATTCTAGGATTTTAGAGGCAAGTTACAAAGACAATTTCATATGAAACTTTCAAGTACTTAAACTACAATTACTAACATCTTCTTTTCAGGCCATGTGAATGTTAATAAATAGACATAAAAAAAGTTTTAACTGCTGCTCAAGACCCCATTTATAATTAAGCAATCATCATTACAAGGYAGTTTTAGGGAGAAAAAAGAAGAAATTTTTTACACTCTACTCTCCCACAAAGTATCTTTATTACTCATTACAAAGCCCTTCACAATATCTCTTCTGCTTCTAATGTTCCTATCAAACTATCCACAACCCTTTCACTGGCATGAGATGAAGCTAGGAATAGCTTGACCAACAGCTGGGTCTGATCTATGAAGACATCTTTTATGTCAGATGGTTTACAAAAATCAGTTTAAAAATACATCAGAACGGCAATATTTCATTACAATCATTTTCTTTTATTGCAATGAATCAAGAGTTGCACTTCCAGTGTTTTGTAAACTGCACTTTCTGACAAGACAGGGAAAGAAGTCTATAAATAAAGCTCTACCATTTTTAATGCAATATACTGGAGTCCAGCATTTTCATAAACAACAGACTTCTCCAGCATTTCTGGCATCATATTTTAATGTTCACTGAATTCAAGTACTATTATTACTAAAATGCAAATGTCTATTCTTGGACTTTCACTCTTGAATCCAATCAAACTTGCTATGTAGGAAAGAATCCCTAATCACTATTTAATTCTCTTAGATCTCAGCTATGCCAACTGAAACTCAGTAAAACATCAGCTGCAAAGGCAAAAAAAAAACCCCAAAACAACCAAAAAAACCCTAAGGCAATGCTGCTTACATGACAAAAGTGAATTCCTTTAACACTGTTGCCCATCTTGTCCAAAGGAGGTGACCAGCACATCAAGCCCATGACATTAGGAACAACCAGAAGAATCCCACCAGCAACTCCAGATTTTGCAGGAAGACCAACCTACAGAATAATCAGAGAATTACTAACCTCTGTAAATATTCCTCACTCTTGTAACAATGCATCGGGATTTTCCTGGAGATGACTGTGCAGCATTTATAAAACATGTATTTGGAAAGCACTTGATGCTGGGAAAGCATTCTTACTTATCTCTTTTTAGTTAAATAATAACCTGATGCAGTTTGTGACAATCCAAGGTACACAATCATAAAACTATTTTCTGTCAGAAATACAGTGAGTCAGTAATACAGTGAAAAAGGATAATCTAAATCTATTATAAAAGAAAGCAATTATGACTAAGCAGTAATGCACAAGCATATGTCTCATGAACAGCTTGCAACAAGGTGGTAGAATGAAGCTGTATAATTTTTTTTTTAAATCTTGACTGGAAAAGGCAAAAAACAAAATCACAAGAAAAATGAGGAGTGTCTATGAAATCATACAATAACCTACTTATTTACAATCTGAACAAAGGCATTACTTTTTTCCAGTAGGAACTAACATGTCACGTACCCTCATAAATCTCCAAGCAGTAACCTTCATGTCACACAAAGCACCACAATCAATTTTACATGTATGCAGTAAGAAAAAACTAAAAATGCTYGGAATAAAATACTGAAAGCATAAATAAGATACAGTTCATCTTGAAATATATACATCTAAGGAACTGCTGCTAGAAAACAGGAGCACAGTGCATGTGCTGTGTATGACAGCCRTTTTCATAATACGTAAGGACAATTYCTGAGCTGAGTTACTGAGAAAAAACAACTGCYTTCAAAGGCTTTCTGCTCTCCTTGACTCCTATATAGCAGGATTTCTTCAGTCATGTTTTCAGTTCCAWCTGCATTGTGACCTGTTTCTCTCATGAACAGCCTTTCCTAAGGAACAGTATTTATGTTTTGATATGAAAAGGATTTCCAAACGTGAAGGCAGACTGCTGTAAGGTGTGTGACACCAATAGAGCCATGAATCCTAGGTGAGATTTTCCCTTAGGGCGTGTTCAATTCCCAAACAATGGAACACCCTCTCCCCTCTTCTGCCTCAAAAACCAGAAACAACCCCTAAAACATGAAAAATACTAGCACAGATTAACCTTCCTGGTCAGCTGCAATTAATACCTGAAAAGTACTTACATGGAAGGCAAACTGCCCTGAAAAGTCATACATGCCACAGGAATGCATCAAACTCAGGGTATTCCGGACTGCTTCAGGACTCAGGACTCTTTCACCAGTGATTGGGCAAAAGCCACCATTAGCCAGAGTTGCTGCCATCACACTTGCTGACTCACATGTTACTTCTATTGAGCAAAGCTTATGGAAAAGAAATAGAGATTATAAGCACTGGTACTTCTAGCACAGGAAGGCCAACTACAGCAGGATCAACAAAATACGGAAATATTAAAATAACATCTCAAAATCACCTGCAGCATAACATTTGTTACAGATGACACTAGTAGCATCAATTAATACAGTCTGAATCTTTCTGCTATAAAGATCCCAGTGACAGTGTTTGCAAGCCCTCTCAAAAGCTGGGGACAGTATTTTTATGGGTAAGYGACTCTGCTGGATTCCTCCCCCCACCCCCCTTATGTTCCTTTGAGAGGAAGAGGTCTGTAAAACAATCTCAGTATTTTGCATCTGTTTARATGGTAAAGCCACAGAACGACTGCTTTTTTTTCAATTTGAGTTTGTTTTGTGCAGTGGGTTCTTTTCATTTTAAAGCCTTAGAAGATCCCACATGTTATCAGAATACAATTTTAAAGCTGCAAATTCTAGCACATGCAAGTCTTAATGCCAGCACTTCCTGCTGATGCAGCCTTATTTCACCTCTCTCATATTAAATTTTTTATATAGTAATGATACAACCACACCATAGCTTTTCCCAGGATCCCTGCTTCAGTACAGACTATACATACTTTGGTGACACATCAGGAAATGTGATATGATGCCATCACCTGATGCTGCCTCATTTCTGCAGAAACCAAAAGATAAGTTGGTTTCAACCTGAAGCTGAAATGCTGCTCTAAAAAGTAAACAAACTAGTGCTTGTATTCTTGCTTTTGCCAAACAGTCATTACATGATACTTCATGAAGTTACCTAAGCCACGTTTGCATGAGTAGTTACTACCTGGAATTCTTATTTTCCGGGTGCCAAACTCAATACATCCTAGTCCAATCAACTGGAGTTGCAAATCAAGAGATTGTCAGAGACGCATCTAAAATGGCAACTGTGTTTTAAACATATGAAGTATTACATAATATCACCTACTTTGAAAAAAATAAATTCTTTCTAGGTTCTCAGTTTGTACCTCCTTTCTCTAAACTGAGAATAATCCATCCTCACTTTACAAATACGTTTATTCCTGTTCAGAAAGTTCCCAGTTACAAAAGGGAGGAAGGAGCATTACAGAAAACCCAAAGAAAAGAAATAACTAGACTTCTAAGTAGAATCTGAGTGTTGGGAAGTTAGGCATTGTACCCTAACAAGAAAACAGAAATGCTGCTCGTGTATGAGCTACCCTTTTCCTGAGCACAGAGTGAAAAGGGGATTTTTCAAAGAAAAAAAAGAAAGAATGACGCACGGTCATTAAATCAGAGATCAGAATGCACAAAAAATGAGGCCAAATTAAAATACACCAGARAAGTTAGCTTTAGCATTTCTTAACTTATTAATAACTCTTAGAAGTGTATCAGGCAGTGGGATACAAAGCATTTTAAAAGCATGTTTACACAGTAAATTCAAATAGATTATCCCTAGTTTCTAACTCAACAACAGGTCAACTACAGCTAATCACACATACTTTACTTCATAAACACTCATCCAATCTAAAGATAAGAGACCAGGTGCATCCCAACACAAAAAACTTGAATAAAATTTGCATTTTGAAAATAATGGCTTATGATTTGCATAAGTAACAGCAAGTCTCCCAAGTCAAAACCAGATTTTGAGAACTGAACTTTTTTTTTTTTTTCAAACTCTCCCAGATGAAGTGAATCAGTAACACAACTTGAACTCTACACTGCAGGGCTGACTGAGTTGCGAWCGTTTAAGCATTAGGAAACCCTTACTGAGAAAAATACTTTAGACTTGTCACGTTCTCATTTTGTGACAGTTGCAAATAACTTGCTGAAAGTGAAAAAGAAAAAAAAATGGGGGAGGGGAGAATATATATAGAGAGATTCCTTTATTCATAAGCATTGACTTAAACCAAAAGGAGGAGATATTCACATTATTTCCCTTGTACCACTCCCCTTGAACCTACAACACAGCATGCAYTCTCCAGTTACACAGAGGTTAAAGTACTCCACAGYACAACACGAAGCAGCAACCCAAAGRAGAAATGTTTTGTTAAACTCACTGAGGTAATACAAGACATTTTAAGCTTCTAACTACTTGTGTTTTAAAGACTAATGCTAGCTTGTATTAGCAATAAAGAGACCTGAGTAGATCAAATAAACAAAAGCAAATCTGGATACATCAAACACACATCTGTCATTTCCAGAGTCAAACAGAAGCTGACAAATTTAACTGCAAGTCATTAAAGCCTCCATGTCTAGGCACAAATCAGCTTCTACTGCTTATAACAGTAATCCTTATTTGAGTCTCAATATTAAAGTCTCAATATTAAAGTCAGTTACCTGAAAATAGAAGTCTAGTATAGCAACCATATCCGTGCCTTCAGGAAAGCACTGAGGAAGAAAAATAACGAGTCTTTAGGCAAAATTAGCACTTTTAAAGTATCACTTTTAGAAAGACTTAAATTAGGGTATATTTTTGCCAGCATTCTAAGCATTAGGCATATTTTAATATAAATATTTAAAAATTTAATGACATCAGATTTTAAAATAACACATTGCAGAGATATCAATAAACTACGTATTAAAATATTTTTCAGTATYGTTTTCAACATCATTAAATAAGTAAACTGAAAAATGCATCCAGGAGTTTTGTGAGGTTCAGCACAGACTGTGTGTTTTACAACAAATAAAACAAATTATCATACGATACAGAAAAGTATTTAGAGGTGTTTTGAGTGGCAGAAGTATCACACTTTTTAAATGACAGCACTTGAATAACATTAAGATATATACAGTATTAATTTATGCAATACTGTACATGAAATAAATTAAAAGTCTTCACAGACTACAAAAAAAACCCAACACACCATTTTCAAAACACACTTTGAGAAAAAAAAAAGAGATTAACCTTTTTTTCTTTCAAGTAATAGCCAATTGCAAAGTTTCTATCTCCACTCTCTCTTTCAGACTGGAATCTAAAAGCAGAAAAAGAAAAAAAGAAGAGAAGGCAACATTACAAACATTCCAAAAAGCCCCCAAAATCGCTGAACTCAAGATGTATAATGTAATTTCAGTTAAATCCCATGTAAAGGATACATCACTTCTGAACACAAATATTCTACTAATGGGACACAAGTGGCCRCAGCAGCTCATCCCAGCTCACCCAGTTGGAGTGCATCAGCACTGACATCCAAATGCACACAGTACTGGTTAYCTACACCAACATGAGCTGACTCGGAGATAAGGCAAAGGAGGGCAAGATCCTAATCTTGGAAGCATTTCTAAATAGGCCAGAGTGGAATGGAACATCTCACACTGAGACACTGAAAGGGTCATTCCCTGACCAAARCAGAGGAATCTGAGGATCACACAGCAGGTCAATGACCGGACTGGTGGCTGCACTCCTTATTGTGATGATTAAGGATGAAACCTGAAAGAGGAAAAGCTGCCTGGCTCCTTCTGGAGCACACACTCTTTACTGCAGAAAAGCTCAGGATAAACACCTCTGCACCAACTGGCAGCAACTCTGCTATAGGGAATCATCATGATTTTTCCCCATTCTGTCTGAAAAARCTCTCAACTTTTCGATTGCTATACCCTGAGTTTATGAGGGGAACTGTTTGATTAAGAAAAGAATTTAAATAAGCGAAACAGAAAAGCAGAATGAGTCCAAGTTGCACGAACTATGCTTTCTAAACATTTGCAGCCACCAACATGCAGAGTTTAATTTTTAATATGAATGCCAGGAAGAGAAGAGTTGCACTTACAGCTCTCATTGCCATAGCACCAACAGAGCACTAAGACAGAATAATGACATTTCAAAGAGGTAACCAACACTTTTAGGTGAAATTTAGCCACACTGATGTCAAAGACATGCACAAGTCAAGTTGTAAATTGTAAGTCAAAGAGACCCTCCAATGCCAGTTGAAATGTAAATAACTGGACTTCGTCATAAGCTSAATATGCTGGTTATCAGTTGAAACACCTTCCACCTAACCTCACTMAATAAAAAAATACTTACGTAGCATTACTGAATCCAACATACTCATTACCAGCCATTTTATTCATGAACTGCATCACCTGTTGGAGACAAAGAGGAGGGAAAGTAGTATTTTTACACATGAAAAAGKTATGAAATTTCAACCCAGCCTTATCCTAAATCTTGCAATACATTTTGACATGCAATACAAATCACTAAATGTTTAAACAACCAAGTACATCTACAAAGACAAAACGTAGGATATTATTAAAATATCACTTTCAATTCCCTTGTTATCTTGAAATTTTTATCACTGAATTTAGTTAAAAAAGAAATGTTAAAAGGTTAACTCACGTAGTCAAATTTTTCTGCGTTATTTGCTCCTTGCTGCAAGAAAAGAAAAAATAATTTACAAAAACTGTTAACAAAGGAACAAAGTTAGTTCAYTTAACAGTATTAGGATTTTAATGCATATAACTAAGGTATGARGCTAATTAAGAATAAGGTACTACAATCATTTCATATATTAATGAAAACATTAAAGTGTTAGTTAAGTAAATCTTTAATTATCATTTAAATAAACCTATGAATCTTAACAAACACCTGTATGTTGGAAATTAATTTAAACTGAAAAAGATATGCTTTATTTTAAGTGCTCTCTAATCAATTTTACATGCTTAGCATCAGTAAAGACAGTAGCTAAAGCAAAAAAAATTACAAATGTAACTACAAACAGGATAATTACAGTAAAAACACTAACTTTTTAGAGATTAGTAAGCCAAAGGTATTCTCATGTTACCAACAGAGCTGAGCATAGGGAGGTTCAGGCTATTGAAGTTAAAATATTTCCATGGCCAATGCCCATAATAAGGATTTAGACTGAAGACTTGAAGTGTTACCCCCTACTAAAATGAAAATAACTGCAATTTATTCGAAATATATGATTTGGCTACATCTGATTAATGTCCTACCTATTAAAAATTGGTAATCAGCTAGAAAAATAGAATTTCATATCATAGGCCAGATCATTGTGCTAACAACGTWCAGGAAAATCTGAATCAAGCTTAATAAGGATGATATTGAAACTTAATTCTTAGGCTTGGTTTGGTTTTTCAGGGAGGATGAGGGTGTTATTGTGAAGATTTTTTTTTCTCCCTCATTTARTAACATTCTCAAATTTAGTATCTGCCAGTTAAATACATTAATTCTTTAGAGGTCTCTGATGGGTGACCTTTCACAAAATCCTGTGAAATGGCAAGAGATTCAAAGAGGAGTGGGAGGTAAAAAATAGCGCATGGTCCACTGGGGTGAGTTTTTTAATATTTTTTAAGTAGCCAAGTAGAAATTTTGGAGGAAGCTTAAAAAAAACAATGGCATCGCATACACAAGTGGAAACAATATATCTGGAGAAGATGTTTTAATACATAATTTTAATATTAAAGACACTCTATTTAGAATAACAAGACTATAACAAATCTCAAACAATCCAAGCCACTACTTGCACTGTGTTGAGTGTGGGGAGGGGGAAGAAAGGGGAAAAAACGGAAGCTTTATATCAACCAGTATTTTTCTTAAAGAAATGCATAAAGCGAGTCTCATTTTCCACTCTCTATGTGGATTAGGGTGTTGCAGATAATCTTGGAAGCCCATGCATCAGCTCATCTACAGGAGGAGGTGCAGTCACACACRTACGATCACTGGTGAAAGGAACACCGCACTTCTCTCAAAATTATACGCCAGTGGTTACCATATGTTTAAAGGCTAATAACCTTACTCCTAAAGGCAATAATCTCTAGCTAATTTGCAATTAGATAAAAAATGCATGATACATTTCATCAAAATGTTCCTGTATAATATACCAGAACACAAATCTTAAAAATTTAACTCCAAATCTGTTCAATGAAAAATAATTAAAAGAAGAAATTACCAACTTCATTGAACTGTTGCAGTTGTCAAAATATTCCATAGATCCTAATGCTGTAAAATATGTAACAACATTTAAACCACAAAAACCTTTTCAACCTTTCAAATGCACAATGAACATCTTTTTCTGGGAAAGTGGGTCAGCATTAGTTATGGGATGCTGCATTGATAATTGTATGGTTAGACATGTATAATAAATTGAAACAGGTTCTTTTGTTAAAAAAAGGAGGGAGAAAGGGATCATGCTTTCTGCAAAAATATAAATACATAATACTCCATTTTTTTGTTCTGCCCAGTTGAAAAAAAATATTCCCTACAACAAAAAACACGGCTTTACCAGCAGCACATAAAATTGGTGGGCAAAAGACTCAATGCAAATGTTGTACACATCAACCTTTTATAAAAAAGGCTCCTTTCCAAAGTTCACAATTAAACTTGTATTTTAGGAAGAAAATCTTCTGCATACTAAGCCAGACAAAGCTGTTTTAGTCCTTGATGTTSCACGCACTTGTAGAGGTATTTCATATCACACACAAAAGTATCGTTACTGAAATCAGACTGCTCACACACCTGAACTATTTGCTTAAGCCATCACATGATCAAGACCTCAGTAGGGATTTACTACAACCTGTTACTGAGATAGGAAACTCTCCTTCCATACACATGATGACTAAAAACCCCAAGAGATTAGTTCCCCTCTTTCAGCAGCTGACAGAGGTATCCTGCTCCTCCTAAAAAGCTGAAGAGACACAGTGGCAACACAYATTCTATGATTAAAATTCAATTGCAAATACAAAGTCCTAACATTCAGAGTAGTGAGCAGGTTTTCCATAACAATATAAACAAATATAAGAGACAAGAAAACTTCTGTTCTTTCACAAGTGTTTCTTATTTTTAGCTTGACTGTATAAACCTATGAGCTTGGGGGCACCATTACAATATTTCATAAAAAGCATTTTTCATGTTCAGATGCAATTCAACCCRTCTAGAATATCAAAGAAAACATTCCATGCACTAACTCCACAAACAYGTTGTACATTTACTGGAACATATGTTCATATACACACTGATACATGCTTGTGTGTATATACATATGAGAAAACACTTCTAAATGAATACAAAATTAAATTTGCAATGTTAAGACTGAAGCAGTTTGATAATCAGAAAATTCAAACTTGCAGAAGACAGCTCAATACAATTTCATAAACASTTAAAACCCCAATGGACACTACAGCTGTCAACCATAAATTTGAATTTTTTGACTGTGTCAGGTTTTAGTGATCTTCCCTTCTTTTTTAAACGTGGTACTTCTACTGTATTACTTTTATTTCTACTAAAAAACATAAACAGTTGCAAAGGCTGCATAACTAAATAGGAAAGAGACCCATAGATACTTACCAGAGCTTGCAACAACAAAATTGGGCAATATTTATTAGAAAAGTAGTTAATATTAGCCACTTTCCATTAATCAACACTGTTTCTGTGATCAGACCATATAAGCTCTTATCTTACCAGGTGTCACTTGCTAAAGTAATTTCTTAATTTTGAATCTAAGCAAAGCTAACTAAAACACCTGGATCATGAGAAGTTTATAATCTTCTAATAACAGAAGATAATTTAAAAATTAATTTCTGGGCTATTTAAAGCCAAATTTATATTCTAACACTTTACTGTGCTGAAAATATCAGAAACAAAGGATTGTTCATACTATGTCAGAGTGCAAGAAAACTAATTTTTTTTACATTTCTGCGTTTTTCACTACCAATGTCTTCATCTTAACTTTTTGTACTTACACACTTTCTATATTTTATTTGTTAAGCTGGTCCTGTTCTGTGAGAACTGATGTCTTAGCAGTTTAGTGCACCATTTTCAGCTCTGAAATACTTGAGAGTACACTGTGACAGACAGTACTTGACCTAGGCCAACACAATCCAAATTTCAAATACATGGAAGACTTTGTGTCCTTCACTTCTGTGCATATGTGACCATTGAATATGTCATTTCACTACATATTCTGTCATACAACATCCAGTACACTTGAGTTRTAATGAAAAGCACGTGGAGAGAAACATGGATGTAAATTCTATCCCAAATTAGTTACCACAAGAAAATTAATAACTTAAGTAATGTCACCAAAGTAAAGACAAGTATCTGGCAGAGAAGATCACAACACTAACGCAAGTTGTAAAGTGATTTGTAGGTACATTTACACATCAGTCTCCTAGGAAAGGTAACTGTAGTGACAGCATAGTCTAATTAAGCTAAATCAATACTATTTCTTGTAGCTATATTGTCTGATAAACCCAGCAAACCTTGCATCTTCCACCCCAGAAGTATTAAACTGTMACTGCATAGGTTTCCTAATAAATGAATCCTGACAGCGAACAGACCCTTGGCACAACTAGGCAGGTTTTTTCTACCACTCTTTGCCTCATTTATTTTGTGATTTAACAGCATGTTTAGAAAGCTCTTAAATATATCACAAACACCTCCATATGTTATACAAAAAAAAGCTTCCACTGAATTAAGGTTTTTTTACGGTCAGCGGTTATCAGCATTTTCATTTTCTCTTGCACCAAATTTTTTGCAAGAACTACGAAATTTGCTATTCCCAACATGTCTAAATGCTTCCCACATTAATTCAAGGCACAAAACATCTCCCTTCAGCAAGCATTTAAGTCCACACTGTCTCAGGTCATGTATGTGGCTGTCAGCACTTAAAGTATTCAAAGATGCTGTATTTGCCTGAACTTTTGCTGTTAGATAAAGTAAACATTTATCTACAGATGGTATGTTAAAGCATACAATAAAAATTACTTAAGATTAATCCCTTGTCCTCTGGTGATTCCATCCACAGCCATCTGTTTTCTTCCACATATTTCTCTCTGAACCTTTCCTCTTCATCTCATCTGCACCTCTAACATGACAGTCACTAAAGGTAACGTGGAAGTGRGAAATCCCTGACACAACCACTGATACTCCTGGAGTTGACAGGTTTTGAGAACTGAGTTTAAGGTTTAAAAAAACATAACAGATCAAAGCAGCAAAATCCCCRCACTACAGGCAATAAATATTCTTCCCAACCAATGGGATGTACAGAAAGCTGCACTGAATCTGTACTACATCTGTAGAGCAGTTGAATCATCTTCTTTTGAGCACCTGTATTTCCTTAAACATGGGAAATTTTTCTGTTGAATCTAATACCACTTTTCCACAAACTCCTGTAATTGCCACTACAATTTTCTTTTGATAAAAAATTCTCTGAAAATTGTTGTAACTATGTCATTTATATAACTAGTAATATAGGCAAATGGCTGTACAATTACTRAAAAGGGAAAAAGACCTTAGGGTTTTTTTTAGATGTTATTTCTTTAAAAGTGACCTGCAGGATATCCTTTTGCTAATGCATTTCATTGTAGTTACATGCTTTAAAATGCTGGAACAGTCCATGGAGTGTAATGCAAGTGCAATTAGAACAGAGCCAGGGGTTAAGACACCAAAATGTAAATACATCATAGTCCCAAACACAGTGCAGTCAGAGAATCACTTAAGCTGGCAGGAGAATGATACAGCCATGCCTACGAAACTCAAACAAATGTGCAACTTAACATACACATACCCCTAATTATTTATTATTATGGACTTAAAGGACAATRTAACATTACAGTTTAAATCCCTTGCTCTGTTCCAAGGTGGGAACACCAAATTCTAACAGCAGTCAGAACTGGGTGTGTGATGCTAGGAGTCCTTTTATTCCTCTAAAATATTAACATAWTACATGTTACAGATGACAGATTACTCCAAGCATCATCTCTCATCCACAAGTAATCATAATCTGAGTCAGGCTCTAAGGACAGCTGTGTGCAAGATRACATATACTAACAGCTGCTAAACTCAGTASGATGTATGGGAACTCTGAAAGACCTCTTAGACCCATTTCTCAGGAAGGGATCATGAATCTCAAAGGAGATAAAATMATTCTTAATCATGATATACAGCTACAATCTCTCCCTAGCCATTAACATRCTATCATTAGATAAATCTGCCATTCATGGTGAATTCAAATTTTCTTGGGACTTTAAGAGCCAGACGCTGTWTTCAAGGCATGTAAGCAACACCTTAAATAAAAAGAATGAATGCAGAAGAATTGAGGGCAAAACATGAGTTAATGAAGCCAACTTCTTCAGCAAAAAGGTAAATTTGATATTAGATCAAATACAAATGTGAATTACTTAATTCACTGRTTAGCAGGAATTATATTAAGTTGCRGATTGTAAAGGAGTTACTTCACAAAAAATACAGCTAATAAGTAATTTTGTACCTGTGACCCTCTGTGTTATTTTCTTCAGAATAAGTTTAGCTTGGTTAGTTATTCAAATGATAAATGATATCTTAGTGAAAGCAGTACAGAAAATAATCTACATTTTACTCACACAGAAAACAAATAATGGTGTGATAAGTAAGATATGCGTCCACTAGACGTGCAGTTACCACATGCAGAAACATTAGTGCAATACAATACTCTTTATAAGAACATTACAGAAAAAACCCAAATGAAAGTTTTTAAAAAGCCACCCAGCAAAACCAATCTCCCATCCTTCTAACAAATACCACAATTGCATGCAATTAACAAATCCATGTTATCTATTCAGAAGTACACCATTTATCGAGAACTACGTGCCTTCTGCAAGAGGCACATGCTTTTGCTTTGCCTTATGATCAGTAGGGCATGTTGTAGTTGAAATAACATTTTGACATTTCAGACAAATGTGTTAAGTCAGATTTTAAAATTCACTATTATCCAAGTGAATTTCAATGCTCAGTCAACCTTTAAAAAACATTAAATGKGAATAAATTTACCTGTCATACTTAAGGCCATTTTCTTTCACCTACAGCTATCAAAGATAAATGTCTTTAAGCAGGAGTTCTTACACCTTCTTTAAATATAAAATAACAGAAAAWCATGATCTAAGTAATTTTAAAATAAATGTTTTGGAAATAGGAGGTAGGAAACACATTGTAGCTAATGGACTTTGAAGTGTAACCAAGAAACAGGTTGTAACAAGACTTTTAGACCTCTGAAGTACCTCTGAAGCATGACGTTTACTACTTAAAAACTCCAAGGGACTAACATGTTCCTCATAAATCTACAGACGTACCATTGAAAAGAAAACTTATTCTATGTACCTATGGCTACCAATGCCAGCAGAAAATACAAGCYAAGTATGTGGCAAGCATTAACATTACATGGAGTTTAACCATTAACAACTTCAAGACATTTATAGAGCTGTTCTACAGAGAAAGTAACATACAGAAACATCTCAAGATCATAGACTAAAGATGTTAAGCAATTTTTCAGCCCCAGTGTGCTCAGCAAAATGAATAACTGGTTTCAAACACTTATTTTTGAAAGTACATTTACATCCCAACAGCAACTGTGGACCACAAAAGCTAAACATAATTTAGTAGTGCAGTATGTTAATAGCACACAWATTCAACATTTGACAAAATTCAAATTCATCTGACATTCAGATACAGCAGCATTGCTCCACTACAAATTATAGTATCTTCAATAGTTTCTACACAGCAAGAAATACTCTTGCAACTGTGTGCTCTATGAGAGCACTAGACACTCAGAAACATTGTGCTATAAAGTATATTCCTGAGCAATATACTTCCTTAGCAATTAACAAGTAGGAGGCTTATTGTTAACAAGGAGACTTATTTCAAGAGAATATCAAGTGTTCTGCAGCTAAAGAAAGAACCAAAATAATACCATCAAGGATAAAGAGCCTTTCAGATGCACTGATACTTGTTAAAAACTGCTAGTCTAACACTGCATTTATTTGCAAGTTACCATTTCCAAAAGATCAGAGCTTSTCTACCTGCCAATAGTAAAATGCCATCAGATATTGCAGACAAAAATCAAAACCAATTTATAATCTGTACAAGACACKTTTTCTACATTCTACTAAAATACTCAGAGAGAAACTAAAAATTAACTTTTTACCTTGATTAAAGATGTGATCACAATTGCTCCAGCATTCACCATAGGGTTATGAGGCCTGTCTGTGAAATAAAGTTTCCAATTACAAATATATTCCAAGGCATGTTTGTCAAACAAAACCAGTCAAGTTCTTTAGTGAAAAATTATTCTAAATTCATGTATAATTTAAAACTACTGTTAGAGAATAGCAATTATATAACCCTAAACCTTTAAAAAATACTGTAGTCCAATACTATACATCTTTTTTTATAATGTTGAGCAAAGTATTTCACAGCTTAAAACACACTCAGCCTTATACTACWTAACAATCCAGTAAATTATTTGGTTTGGTATAATTTCTTTTCTTGAAAATTATGAATCCTCTTCAGTGTTCCAATATTTGATCAAAGCAACATTTGGAAGTGAAACACCCCCTACAGGACTTTGCAATTTTCCCCCCAAGTTTCCAAGTTTCGGTGATTTTAGAAGGGTTTAAACAGGTCCTTAAAAAAAAAATTAGAATCCGGCTCTTAATTTTCCTTATTGCTGTAAATGAATACAAAATCCTGATCCTTTTTAAGAACCAGAGGTTTCTACTGGCAGCTTCTGAAATGCAAATATCAATTTCCTCACTACAATTTAATTTACTTCATAGCTGACTTGCACAGACCTGCTACACTTGTATTTTCCTTTTTACCATTCATGTCCTTATTCACAGTATCTTKGTGTTCCCAAGGCATTCTTGACTGTTGAATGAACCACCTTCTTTTTTACCTTATTTTCCTAAAAAATCCTCTCCTTAGTAGCCACCTCACTTTTCCCAAATACAACATCTACCTTCCACAAGTTATCCTTTTTTTACATAACATTTTTGCTGAGCCTTTTGACTAGGATGTTGACTTCTGAGCATTCTAGTATCTGAAAACCTCAACCAATTCTCAATACATCATTATCATGACAGGTTTGAATTCTTTATTTGCTGCTTCTTTATCTCCAAATTAAAAAAAAAATACTAATTTAAAAACCACACAAAAAGTGTTCAATATTTTTATGTATGATAAACAAACGTGCACTCTACCTGAAATGACTGGGGTTTTAGAGATGAGTCTGATATCTGCMTATATACTCAAACAAACATTTTCCCACAAAAATTGCACTGGTCATGGTCAATGGCACTTGGTCACCAATGACTATCAATTAATCTTCAGAAACCAATCATCGAGTTTTATCAGTATTTTTCAGAAAGTCAACATTAAAAGTAACTTTCAAATAAATCAAACTATTCTATTAGTGGRAAAATAAGGCAAATACCTTCCCAAAAAGTGAAGCTCCCCTAAAATACAAATTTACTGTGTAGATATCATTTTAAGATTGTTACTGCCATTCCTTATCTCTTTGAAACAGGCTCAGAAATTGTTTTGATTACATTTGATTGTACTTAATTAAGAYCCACCTATATCAAATGCCCTGTTATCTACTAATGCAAGCAATGAGGGTCAAATGTATTTGACTTTTGATTAAATCCAGATACTGAAAAAGAAAACATAGCATTTCTATAGCTCCTCAGAGACCACAAACCTGAACAGAAGTCAAATGAYCACTCACAGTATCACAGCCTGTGGGYCAGAARGGATATGTGGATGGAGGTCATCTCYTCCACCCTCCCACTCAATTCAAGGCTTTTGCCAAGATTACATTAACTGAGTCTTGAAAACCATCAAACATGCAAATCTTCTACCTCTCCAGCAGTCCTGTCCATCCCAGAGGACAAATTTACCCTAATGTCCAAGATGCAAGWCCCAAGCCACAGCATGAGGCCACTGGTTCTTGTACCAGCTGCCACTACCAAGAAGAGTTACAGAACTCTTCATGCTGGCAAGTGCTCTTCAAGAATTTTAAGAGGCTTCCAGGGGAGCCCCTAGACCCCCCTTCCAACTGCTCCTTGGGAGTTACAGGTGCCCTGGACTGCACAGCACCCTGGCAGCCCTGTGCCCAGCTTTTCACTGTTCTTGAGCTGGAGATCCCAACTCCAGACACACARCCCAAGACAACACTGCTCTCATGCAAGATCAGAGCACACTGTCACCCTCATTTCTCGCTCTAGCTATGATTCTCTTCTTTACAACTTCCTCTCACCAACATCAGACATATCACTCCAGCCCATAAACACACTCATGACTTTATCATACACAGCACATTCTAAAAATATTTTTACAAATATTTTGCTCTTGATTCTTCTGAACATCTCTGTAGTTTCAATCTGCCAGAGTACAAAGAAAAAATACCAAATTCCACATCATCTGTATGTTTGAACAAAAATGACGTGGAATGTTTATTTAGCATTCAGCAACTCAAAAGATTATCAATATGGTATGCCCACACACAAAATATACCSTCAGAAATGCTACTGCTTCTCATTCCTTTCAACTTGTCACCACTTACTTTCAAAGTCAAGACATTCTTGGTTACATTCTCCACTACTCTGAAGATTCCTGTCTCCCACTGACTAACATCTCAAGCTGCCTGTACTTGTTCTGGCCACTTTACAACTAATGCATCTCCATGTGCTGCCCACATACGAAGAAGGGAGGAACCCTCTGATAAAAAAACAAAACATGGACCTTCCTGAATGCACATTCATGCATTCCTGTTGCTCCTGTCATGACAAGTCAGCAAGAACATCACCGTGGCAGCCTTACCAGCTAAGGGAAAGCACAACAGCCTGGCTCACCACACACTAATAACCACTGTCCTCTGAGGATCTTTCCTGCTGCTGCCAACTCCAGCACATCACAGAGCTGAGCAGGACACCTGCCATTAACCCACTGCTGCCTCTTCTAAGCAGAACAAACCCTGTCAGGGTATCCAGGTACCAGGTAAGCAGTTTATACCTTTATCTCCATGGTACCAGGTAATACCACCCAAACACTGCCCTTACACARGTATCTCTAATAGACAGGAAACTTTCTATCTTGCCAAAACAGCTACAAGCTCCCTAGAGGTAGTCCATGCCCCAAGCCTGTCTGTCTTTAAGAGGCAYTTGGWCAATGCCTTTAATAGACAGATGGTTGTATGTCACTTCCAAYCGAAATATTCCATTCAACAATGAAGAACCTCTCCCCCAGCTTAAGCTGTACTGGTTCTTTTTAAGGCTCRGGTGCCTAAATAAAAACTTACATTCTGAACGATTTCTGCAGATTTCATAGGAGTGACATCTTCCATTCTCATCAATAATAGTTCTATTCCAAGGTAATTTTTCACTTCTGGGGGATGTATAGGTTCTGACACTACTTTAATTTTTCAAGAAATACGTACACAGATCTATTTCTAAAGCAGCAGCCACTACTGATTTGCCTCCCAGTGGGTGCCATTAGCAAAGGGATTCCACACTGTACAACAACTAAGCATGAAGACTGATACTGTAATTGCAAGTTTGCCAGGGGTGAACAAATTCATCCCTTAATCTTTAGGAAGAGGTATCAAACTGTGCAAACCTAACTGACACACATTACCAAAACCMAACACACACACCTCCTATAATCAAATAATAAAGGCAGCAATCTGCTCAGACTGGTAAAAAAGTAAAATCTTTTACACAGCTTCTCTGCAAATCACAGGTATTGCTGTATTATCTCATTATACCTCTGAGTAAGTTCATGCTCTATCCTTAATGAAATACAAGCAAAATAAACAATTTCCTGGCAACCCTCATTTGATTACAATGCAATCTTTATTACTGGACTAAGTTCTACAAATGATTATATTACTGGACTAATTCTACAAATAATTATCACCAAGAGAAGGTTGTATGTATGTATAACAGATACTAACTATTCATATATACAGTTATTGTTACACTTGTTGCATCATGAACTCAATAGACATGAAAAAGCCTGTAGCTGCATAAGAACGATAGCCAGGAAAATTATTCCTGGTAATGCCTGTTTCAGACACATTTTATTCAATCAACTAGAATAATCTTTTTTTAATTAACATCRGGGATTGCTTTATTTCTCCAGAAATCGGAATTGTTGGACGGGCGATGTATTTCCTTTCAGACAAGTTTTAAAATTGAATATTCATAAGGTTGTAGAAGTTTCCAAATTTCCATTTCACAGCACAGATCATACTGAAAACATAGCAACAGCCTTTTGTTGTAAGTTGGCATTTTTAGCTAAAATTTGACATTGTCTGAAAATATTCTTCATTCTTTCCAGCTTGAATCTGGAAAGAGATTCAATGAAATGGAAGAACATCCTGTTTTAGGGATCTTCAATATAGTAAGAATAGAAAAAAAGAGCTTCAGATGCACATCTAAACAGTTTTCAAATACCTGTGTGTCACTTCATATAAACTGGATTACAACCATGAAATTCAACTACATCTGATTATTTAGAAAGCAAATAGATTTAGTATCTGTGTACTTTTTAAAATTTTGAAATCTGGTCTTCCAAGTGTTTATAGATGTTCGAACTGACAAAAATTTTGCATATCTAAAGTTCAGACAGTGGTTTAAATCTACAAGCAAGGTGTAATCTCTTCTTCCCTCTCTTCCTTCACCTGGAGAAATCCAACCTCCCTTTCTCTCACTATAACTGAAATGTTCCTATTTATTAGACTTCTACTTTCTGTTTTAGTCTTTTCTTAAGGACTGTATAAGAGGCCATCCAGGTGAATTACAGCAGTTTTTTCTCATGTCTACCAGCCACAGAAGCACATATTTAAAAATGAAATTTTCTATCAGGTGAATTAGTTTTCTCTATTAATTTCATGTTCACTGGTCAAAATTTTAATAGTCCAAATTCTCTTATGCGTAACATAATATGCATATTATTAGAAGGCAAACACTCTTGCCTTCTAAACACTCTGTAACAGTAATGCAAAMATTCATCCTCTCCAATAATACAATTTTAAAAGTAGCAATAAAAAGAAGAAAATAATTACTACACTTTCTATCACGTTATTAAAAAAAGAAAATACACAAAATCTGTATTAGTTCAAAGGAATTAATGGGCAATTTTCAGCATCATCAAAGCTTTTTTTTGTACTAAAGCTTTTTTTATAGCAAAGCTTTTGTAGGATATGAAAGMCTAGTCATCTTCACACTGTTTTGACACTATTTGGAAAAACTAGGAAAGCAAAAACAAGAGCAAAGCTTGACAAAATGCTTAATCCCTCCTTGGCAATATATTCAYATGTTGGTATTTCATCATCATTTACTAACATAATAAAACAGAAGAAATACATTGTCAAGAGATKTTTAAAGTATGGAAAGATCWTTTTAATGTATAAATAAATTAAACMATTTTMTATAAATTACTTGMATRTATYTATAAATTCATTAAATTYAATTAYATATCATTAATATTTTAATAATATAGATATTTAAGTCAGAATTCAATACAGTCCTTGACAAAAATGTCATCCAAGCYTTATGCTGGTAATTAAATATTAATTGCAATACCATGGCAACGGAAACATTGTCTGTTCTTTCACTGAGACAGATCCACTAGAAGAAACATTTGTGTTTTAGAGATAACATCCAGTATTTCCTCTAAGGCTACATGAGTCATCTTTCTCAGATTTTTGCCACAAAGTTTTTTAAAATAACATTTCCATGCTTGAGAATATAATAGGAAAAAGAAATAATCTAGGTAAGTGCTATATGAAAAAATCTTGCTAAAACACTCCTGCCACAGAGAAAAAAATAAAAAAACATTGTTTTGAGCCAAATTCCATTTGAATAATCTGTGGGAAGATTTTGCCTTCTGGAAACTAGTCAGTGCTGGCCTTTGGCACCAGCACCTGCTTCTCAGAAGGCTGAGAAGTGATATGTTTTTTAAAATCAATTTAACACCTTAGATTCTTTCACCACCATTTTACAGAAGCCATGATTAAGAAGCACTTGTTACCAACTCAACTAAATAAACAGAAATTTCAAATACTTGCTTTACTAAAACTCTTTGGGTTTTCCTAGAGCTCAGCAACTAGCAAATAGAACAGAAGCAATAAAACATCTTTTACTAGCATTCTAAATTAGGCAAAAGTGACTGAAAAAGATTAAGCCTACCTTGCTGATGGCAAAATATTCTGGGACACTATCTAGTAATAAGACTTTCAAGGACACAGTACAATGAGAAGACTGAAAAAATTGTGTAGGCTTGCCTCATAATTTTCTAAAACCCAGTCTTTGCATTGTTAAGTATAATGTATCTCTTACCATCTTCATTCAGGAACAATTTGTTGAACCTTAATCCACTAGGCTCTTTACCAACATATCTGTGCACATACTCTGTGCCAAGATCATTGACAGCAATCGCGTATTTCAAAGGCTTTACGCAGGACTGGAGACAAAATGGAACTTTGGTATCACCCACAGAATGCCTGGGAAAAACACAGATAAAGAGGTTTGAAATTTCCTGTTTGTCAGTTKTGGCAGCAGAGTGTTAAATGCTTAATCTGTCCTTCAACAGGTAAGGACTATTAACAAAAACACCCCAAAAAGCAAAAGCATATTATTATTGAGACTCTTTTTACATGACTTAACAATAAGATATAGAGGTTTTAGCAACTGGATCTATAAGCCAAGCATAATGAAGTCAGTTGCTGATGACTACAGCAGAGGTAAAAAAATAAAAACAGTTTCAGAAATGGGTTTTTACCACAGAAAAAAAATTACCTCAAGTCTCTAGTCTTGCACTTATCCTACTCAATTGCAAACCACATACTCAACAGGGTACAGCTGACCCAAACAGAGCCACTGTACTTATCTACATCTGTATAAACAAACATGAGATACAGTTTGGTTTTGTAATTTGAGAACAATAATCAAATAGCTGTATTTACATTCCCTTTGATAAAGGCAAAGATATTTTTTAACAATTACATGCTATCTTTTGGAAAGTTTACTTTCAGCATCTATGTCAGACTGCACCAAAGAGTGACTCATTCAAGCAGCATATGCCACATCTAGAGCAAAAGGCTTGAAGCAGCCACTTGTCTGATGGCAAAATCAGAAGTGTATTTGCTTCTTTTCTTGGCAAAAAACACAAGAAGGCTTCAGTGAAAATCACAATGCCATTTTGATATTATAAAAGCTAACATTACACAACGTTAAACATTACAAAAATTAACATTATAAAAACTTTCCCTAGCACGTAATATCCAGAACAAAGCCCAATGCCAATTTAAAGTACAAGGTTTTTTACTATTAATAGACTGTAATTCAGACACCTAAACAGGGTAATGAAAAAAATACTTCAGCTCACTTGTGCATCTCCTCTCGAGATTACAGAGCATAYGGTTAATTAGAAACATAGAGATCACAACAGATTATATAAAATGAACTCCAAGTCACAGCAAGTCTGGCCATAGCAAGCCATAAGCAAATCTGATGCTCTCAGGCATGCCCCATTCACAAACCCAACACCTAAAAACTGCAGTTCCCACAACCTGCAATAGGATCACACCGAAGTGCAGGTCAGCTGAGCTGATGAGCATCTTGCATTGTGTACTCACAGAGGTGGACAGAGAGCTCACATTACTTCTCATCTAGATGGTGTGAGCTATCCCTTTACATCTAGGCTCCTCACTGTCTCTGCTACTCTGAGTTACTCATAAAGAGAAAAATAAAATCACTCTGACTATATCTAGGACCTACACAACCCTTACAGGGGAAAGCTTGATAAACCTGAAAAGCAAAATCGTATTCARTTCTGTCCAGTTTCCACATCTTCATTTTCTTTTTAAAGAACAAGAATCTGCATTTTTTTCAATGACACACGGATTATGTAACAAGGCTACAGTGAAAACATTAAAATGCAGAGAAGGAAACAACACTTAAGTACACTGTGACCTACACAGAAAGTYATTTAGCTTGATGCACAGGTATTGTTAGACAAAGCTTTTCAACTTCCAAAGATTAATACTACAGAAGCATTGCCTCTATCTAGTCCTTCACCCATTCCAAGAAAATCTAGAAGTTACAATATACCTCTGTCCATCCACGGTGCAAAGTGACACCCCCCACAAATCAGGGCTGAACTTGGCCAGTTGTGGAATATAGTCAGCAACCTATCACAGCATGAAATAGAGAAACAYATTACAACATCCAAAATGCTTAACTACATGTTAATTAAAATAAATATCAATGGAAAGAATACACAAAGTACAACTGAGTTATTCTACTAATAGCCACCTGGTATATGTAAAACTTCATTTGAAATCATTACCGTCACTAGATCATTAACAAATAAAACATTTTTTCCAAGTAAAATTTTAAGCATATTCAGAGAGGTATCTGTTTCTGTATTACAGCATGTTTAGAATTTTCAAATCATTTAAAATTTTTAGCTTGTAACACAGTCTAGGATTTTTTCAACTAATTTATTCAAAACAAGCATCAGAATAAATTTTATTTACTAACAGGCACAGTATTGACAATTAATTCTGTCACATAATCCAGCCAGGTGTGTAGAGCTGCATAATTTTTCTATAGATTAGGTGTAGTCTAACAAATTACACAGCAGTTTTATMGTTTATGTAAAATAAAGACAGAATAATGCTATTTTCATAGTCCAACATCAAAACTCTACAAGATTCGTAAAGGCTGTGAACTGTATTTCTAACAGTTTACAAGTTGCAGGCATAACTGAACTTCCAAAACTATCATCACATTATCACTTTAATTTTGCTAAAAATGTTAAAAAAATCTGTCAACAAGTAATGTATTTGGTTAATACTGAAAATCTACAGAAGTTTGAAGGTGACTTTACAAACRGGTTACCTTTCCTCCAGATTGTTTTTTAGCACTTTCATACAGCTCATCAATATGGGAAGTAAACGACATAAAATCTGGAATGACAAACTTCCTTCTGAAAGCTTGAGTAAGCAACACAATATTACTYTGTACACACCTGCAAAAAGTGAAAAACGTTCGTTAGTACTTTGACAATGTACTGTCAAAAGCCTACTTAAGTAGCAATTACATGTTATTTAATTAGGACCATCAGTCCCTTGAAGCTATATGCCTACAAGAACAAGTCTTTATTACTTTTCCAATTTGCCACTCTAATTAATTATAATAGTTTTATTGCATTCATTTTTATTCCTTTCTACTTAAAGCTCTCTTTTGAAGCTTCAACTGTGAAGTTGTACTGCAAGGTATTATCAGTCTGCCTTCAAGCAGCACCTCAGCTTGCAAAAGGGATCTAAGCCACCCAATTCTTAGGATCAAGCCATGTGGGGTTTATCTAACCCAGTCCTTGTCCAAATAATTGCTAATTTTGGAGTTGGATCCAACTGGGAAGGTCCAGTGGTGCTTTCTCTCACTTCACTGTTTCACCATGAAGCTGAGGTGACAACACTGCCAACAGAGCAAACTGGAATGTGATTCTGCCTGAATATGCAAAAAAACCCGTGGAAACACTTGATAACATCTCCTGAACTAAGCAGAAGTTAACATCGAACAGGACTGCAAGTTTCTTGTTTCAAAGCACCAGCACTTAGGGAATCTCTGGTGCCTTTTAGCCCAGAACACAGTTAYACTACCGGCCACACCCTCTGAACATCAGCCCATCTGGTCCTGTTAAAAAACTGATGAGGTAAAAAGGAAAAGACTTATCTAGGACAAACAGAAGGAAGAATGAAAACACCGACTAAGACATGCAGAAAGTGGTGTGTCTGTGCTGGGGAGAGCACGAGCAGGGTGGGAATTGGGAGCCATTATCCACTGTTAAATATGTCCTGATAGAGGGTATTAACAACAGCCCGATCCCAGGGCAAGGAAAACAAAGGGAGGTTTAACACCAAACAAACAGTTAACACCTTCAYACCATGCCTTCTGGCAGTGTCCAAAGAAGCAGAAACGTACTATTAATGCAGGCAAATGGAAAATTAAGAACATCTAGGCACATGCTACAAAGAACGTACCTTCCAATTAAGACATATTCAGAAAAAAAAAAGAATTTTTAAGAAATGTTTCTATTTGGAATAGATATTTCAATAATCCAAGTATTAAAAGTCAGTTCAAAATGAAGGTGCCTGAAGACCGGTGAAGAAACGGAATTATCCTCCCTTTGAATGCCCCTCTCTTTTTTTAAGCCTTTAAATTCCTTCGTCCTTACACGACTTTATCCCAAATTCAACTGACACCCGTTTCAAAYGCTGATAGGCACTGCTCCCCAATGGTGAACAAGAAATGATGATGTAAGTCACCTCCCAAACTGCTGTCTGTAACATGCTGCTTGGTKAGTCTGTTAAAACTGCAGCTGTTTAATGACAATCCATCATATTTCTTTCCTTATCTTGCAAAAAAACCTGTTTGCTTTTGTTCCCAGCAGCCTCCATTTACCATCCCCTACTCCAGGTGCAAAACCCCTTTTCAAAAGTAATTAATAACACTGATGGCASCTATGTGTGCAGAAGGAGTAACAACATAACATGCACTAGGTTCATACTTCACATGCATTTCTACATTGTCTGTACCATCTGGACAGCATTAAGTGCTCTTATAAGAAAAATAAAAATACCTGAAGTTCAYCCAAAGCCATTAGAATAATTCAATACAAAGTGTGGAAAACAAGACGGCATTAAGCACAGTACTCTAAGATCATTATGCTTCTGAAACAAGGCATTTTTTACACTTAAAATTTACACCAAATCTATGATGGTCACTTCAGCAGTTCAATCATTTTAATGTAAAGACTGAAACTCACTGCATAAATGGTTATACTGGTTAGGGACATTACTTACTGTTACCAGTTATTCCCAGATTCTGCTAAGGTYGTGTCCAGGTATTTATCCTGGTACTCCTTAACCCATGGAAACTATATGAATTCACAGACTGAATTAAATACAGAGGTTTAAGTAATCTAGATGGGCATTCAGAATGATTAGTGCATGGACAAAACAACAAAAGCCTTAGGTCTCCCTTTAACAGGACAACATTTTCAGTCAGCCACACTATGAGCCATGACAGCCYCTAAAATTCTGCAGCTGACATCTCCTCCCCACCACAGTATTAACTAATTATGTTCCAGGTAACCCTTCAGAGATTGCTGGCCTCAAGCTCAGAAGAAGTGGAGCACTAGGAAAAGATCACAGAGAGGAATTTCGATAAATCAACACATTGATAAATAAAAGCCTTTCTGCAGTCAAATCTTGAGAACAAATTAGCCCTTATCTTYCACATACTTTAGTGGTGTTCAGGATAGGAACACTAAAAACTTCCKACTTTGCACTCTTCTATTTTGACAAAATTTACAATCTCACTCTAAAAAAACCCAAAAGCTGTCTTGTCAAATTCTAAGCCAAGCATTTCTTGCCCAATTTTAAAACACGTCTGGCAGCTTTGGATTCAAATTCAAGAGGAGAATTACAGCACKGACTTTCATGTTTAGGGAACCAAAGGTTTTAAGTCCTGAGGTAAGGACATCTGAGTAGATACATTACTATATTTCACACTTGTAGAAGAAAATACAGGGACCCTGTGCGAGTCTCTTCACAACAAATGATGCTTGCCTAGGAGGAACAGATAACTGAAGCTTGGGGATTTTTAAGTCACAAAAATGGTTGCAAAGGAAACTTCTACTTCTGCAAAGGAAAACTTGCTATGTGATATAAGATTCACCTCTTCACCTCTGTATAATCTCTATGTTCAAAACTCTTCCTACACAAGAAGCAACCATGTAAGCTTTMCACAAATTGTTACAGTAACAACTACTCTCCTAAAACAGAGGATCAAATCCCAGGGATGTGACATAGAACATAAACTAATYCTGCTAATTAGCAATCATTTGTCCTTTTTCAAACATAGAGCCCTTGCCTAAAACAATTCATAGTTCATTAAGACAAAGAAGACTTTTAGTACAAATGTAAAGCATAATAGCAAATGCATTTTCTTTCCAATCCGTCCATACACCCAGAAAGGTTTCTGAATTTAACAATTTAGAGTTGTTACTGTGCTGACAAAAACTAGTGAAGATGTGGTGTTGAAATTATTACAGGAGTCAAGTTAGTCCATGCTAGACCTTTACAAGGTATCTCACATCTGCTTAAGGAGTTTTCTGGTTTGGTATTTTGTCACACACACAGACATTCACTTTATATCAATCTATTTCCAAAAATGTTTCTATATTTTTATATAGACATATACTTTATTTTTATATATTTATACTTACATAAACTATGTAAATACATATCTTAGCATAAGCATATACTGTATGTGTTTTACATACCTATACGTATATAAAATATATATGTTTTATATATATATATATATATATTTATATATATATATATATATATATATATATATACACATGCAAAATTGTATGCCTAATTACATTTTCAATATTATTATTTATGCTATAAATGGACTAAAAATAGATTTGGAAAAATAATCTAAAATACTTCCAAATTTAAGAGCCTCTAAATTTCCAATCTTTTGGGACACAAAAGCTGTAAGTGGAGGAGCAAAGGAGCTTGCTTGAAATGAACAGATGATCTGAACAGTGCTCATACTATTCAGCTGACTACAAACTTCATTAAMAAAAAGCATCACTAACATAGAAATCTTYACCAAGACAGACCAAAGGAGTATCTGMAATCCTAACTCCTCCTACCTCTACATATCTTGAAATTTAGTTTCACTGTTTTTCACATACTSGCTTTAACAATTACATACATACTCTGAACATCTCTCCACACAGGAGCAACATCCTGAACTTCAGATTGCAAACTGACAATGCAGTGAGAGAGCAGTTTTATGTAAGCATACCAAACCCTTCATGTTGCATCAATTAATTTGTCTGGCATCTGCCCAAGAGTTGCAGTGTGGGGTCAGACACACGCAAACAACATTGACACATTAAACTCTTGCGGAGATCACACAGGCTGTCTGTTCCATGAAATCTGAGAACAAACTTTTATCAAAACAGCAGTCATGTTTGACTCCACTTCTAATAGCACACCTTGTGTCCCTCCTTAAGACAGCACTTAGTAACACACAGACAACATTCACTCAAAATTAGACAGTTACATAATTGACAGAAAGTTTACTTTTTAAAAAGGTCTTTGTCCAGCATAACACCATCTGAAGTTGTCTGAAGAGTCAGTCTTAGCATATCCATGCACTCTTTCAATCGAGGATCAGAAGTGCGTAATCCCGTAGATTTGAGTGCCTATTACAATGAAACAAWAATTACTAAGTAAAAAGATGCACTACCACAATAAAATTATCTACTGCTCAGCTTTTACCACTGCATTATCAACAGAGACATTTTGATACTTTATTGAGTTTTTAGCTATTTCCTTTGGCCATTYTGGYTGYATTTTAYGTCAAAGCATTAATGTTATTTGAAMTCCAGYGGTTCAACTATATTTTACACAAGCACAAATACTACCAAGTGCCACAGCCACAGATGCTTTCAAGCATACTCTTTTGCACATCAAAGAAATGAATAATAACATTAATACACTCATTCTCTTACTTAACTACAGCAACTGCATTGGGGGGAAACAATAGTTACATTCCTTCCCACAGCTAAACATGGGCAACAGAAATTTTTTGCTTTGCATTCTTGCATTGAGAAAATTAAAACAACTTTGAAGGAGTTAGCTTTTATACAGCACTCTGGAACAGTAAACTTACAGTTATGAATTTATGAACTGGTATTTTTTCTTGTCCTTCTGCAATAGTATAGAAAAGTAGATCTTCTAAGCTAGGAAGGAGACCTTGTTTGATTTTACTGGAAAACAGGAAAAAAAAGCATAGATTATTTTAGTGCCYATTTTTATTYATACACATTTTTGCATCRTTCTMAGACAAACACATTTTCACTATCAATACAGATGTTACCACCAATTTCAAAGAACGTTTTCACCAGTGAACACAAAGTTTAGTTTGACTTCAGGTAGAGAAAAAGTAGTAGTATTACAGGGAGCATACGTAGACTTTACAGSAGCAAAAAATCTTAACTGCAACACAGTCATATTTTTACTGTCACGTATTTACTGCTAAGAATATATTTAGATTTTTTTTTGGGAGCACATTAATCACATTCCTCTTCTTGATGTTACCGAGGATAGATATGTTACTTGCAGAGGATAAATTATTTATAAGATTCCAAGATGTATGYGCCTCATAATAAAGTTGTAGAGCATACTGACCCAATTGTTCTACAGGCAAGAGAAGAAGATGATAAATGTGTAATATTTTCTTCAAAACAGTCTGTTTTTAGGACTCCAGGGAAGAGTCCTAGAGTCCTCACCCTTCTAGAAGCTTATGTAAGCCCCATCAGTTACCGTGAAACAAGCAAAGCCATCAGCAGCATAATAGGGCACCCGAAGCACAAAGAGTGACTCTCATCACACCTACTTAGCAAAGTAAACGCAGTGTAGATGCACCTTTAATGGTCACTGTGCTTATCAGAGCAAACACACCGTCTCTCCAAGGATCCCAGGTGTCACCTATTTCACTCCCAGATACGCTTGCCCTATGCCTGCAGTTTTTTGTAACCTGCATCTCCATTTTCGGAGAAAGCTGAAGGAAACCTACCCGAATACGCACTGAAATACTTTCTAAGACATAAAGATGTAACACTGACAGCTTTCCTTCAAAGCCTTTGGATGGTAATGGATTTAACCTATAAAAAGTTTGGCCTTCCCTGATATTCCAAAGCACCCTGCAGCAAGCAGGAGCCCAAGTCTCTACATTCGCCCTGTAAACAGTAGAACCTACACTTCCAGACTAGGAGGGGCAGCAACAGCAAACAGATTCTGACTTTTTGGTCCTCTGAAGCACACAGGTTTGTTCCTAGACAAAAACGCCAACGTTCCCATGTTTGACAAACAAAACTAAATAAAACCAAAACAGTTCTCTAGCAAATGTAGATATTAATTAAAATACGGTGTATGCATCTTACATTATTTTAGCCATCAATTTTAAAGGTCTTATAATCTATYATACCTTCTTTACTATACAGTAATGGAAAGTTATTGCCTGAAACTAGAATGCTCAGTGGCAATTTTTATATTTTTATACATTTACGAATGTATGTACAAAAAGCAAGTCCCAATTCTAGTCACTGAAGTTTTCACAAGATAAATAATTTTTTGAATAACAGAACTCAGGCTTACAACTGCAAACATAAAATGCAACAACAAAGCACAGATCCTAGACAGGCCAATGAAATCTTACTGACTGACGTTTAATCCTCTCCCAATACTTACACAAGTCAGATTTATGATTATTTTTAATAAAAATCTGATTATATYCAAATGCCCTTTTACATTTAAGACWACCTCTAGATTGCCCTTGCCTCCCTCCTTTCCTCATAACTAGCTGTGAAAACCAGTAGTAAAAAAGATCACCACTCATTTTCCTATTTAAAATACTGTATTAACATACTAAGAACAGAAGACAGCTTTGTAAGCCAACAGAACTTTCCTTGTCTTACAGTCTGTATTTTTTTTTTCAAGTTACACTGGCTGACTAATGCACAGACAGGCTGGCATTTCAACCAAGACCAATGCTTGCAGCTACCTCAAGCAAATTACTGAACACCCKTTTTCCTAAAGAAAATTCAAGTCTTCCAGGCAGCATGTTTCAGTTTCAATTCTTTGGGGACAGTATGTCAAATCAATCCAACAGAACCAGAACTACAACACAGCAGGTAAAGCTGCACACCATGTCTGCATCCTGATTCTGCAAGGAACTAATCTTAAAAGTTATGCTAAGTTAAATCATATACACAAAGCATTTCGCTGAGCTCCCCAAAGGGTCAAGATTTCATTTTTTAAGGAATGTCTGTGCTACAAACTCATTCCTTGACTGCTGAAGGTCTGGCAGAGAAAACTTTCCTATTTCACTCTGGTAAAACCAGCCAGCAAACACACTGAGAAATTTTAACTGATAACCTATTTAATTACACATTTCTGAGCAATTACTCAGAACTTTATAGCTGTTTCAAGTATGGAATTTCTATCTRGAAAGGTGCAAAAAATACTTCAGACATTTAACCAAGATTTTAGCTGCCTCTTTGTAAGATTTTAATCTATTACAGAGATGTGCACCTTTCACAGGAGAGAATATCTTGACATGGTTTTCATATCTTCCACATCTGCTGCTGTTCAATATTGGGTCACTCAGCCTAATTAAACAATGGAGCTGCACTGACTACCAAAGCAAAGAGGATGACATTCAATATATTTACAGAAAATTGYTCCTTGTCAAATAGTCCATCTTTTGATAAAGTTTATCAGCCAAATAGAGGTGAAAAGGCTTGCTCTGCAGTTTATCAGACCAGTGATGTCAGTAACTAATGTGTGCTTAACCTAAAAGATGTGTTTTGGCACTGTGAACACACTTAGCAAGATAATTCTGTTCCACACATATAAAAAGCTGTTATTCACGTCAGAGAACTTGCCATTTTCACAGTCAAATTAAGTGGAAATTCCAGTTTAGCCGATCTCATGAGCAATGACTTTTTATAATTACTTATCTTCTTTAAAAAAAAAAAAATAAACAAGCCCCAGACTATTACACAACTAGACTTCTTTGACAGTATTCTCATCTGTGGACTGCAATATAGGTGCACTGTTTTTTAAACACAAAGGAAAATGAACATAGGAATTCCAASCACAAGGACTTTGCAGTCCATATCATTCCTTCTTTCAGCTCYTCCTTTTGCATCTGTACAATGCCTACACCAGATTCTGGGGAGGATTTCATTTTAACAAATGCTGAATTTCTAAGATAGAAACAAGATTGAATTTCAAATATTGTGAGAGATTCCTATTTCATACTTTGAGAAAAAACTGTCAAAATGCAGAACAGGTTTACAGAAYAACAAGTCACAAGGAGATACGATATTGCTAATCATAGTTTCAGGCATTATTARTAARYACRACACCAGTCATAAAAATGAGGTCAYAATTACTGTCACAAATACTGGTCYATCAGAGGTCTGCACTGGGACCAGTACTGTTTAATATCTTTATCAATGACACCAACAGTGGGATCGAATGAAGTCTCAGCAARTTTGCCAATGACATCAAGCTGAGTRGTGCAGGTGACAAGCCTGAGGGATGGGACACTATCCATCGGGATCTGGACAAAYTCAAGAAGCTTTTATGGTGAGGGTGGTGAAATGCTGGAACAGGCTGTCYAGAGAGGTGGTAAATGCCCCATCCCTGCAAACACTCAGGGTCAGATTGCATGAGGCTCAGAGCAGCCTGATCTAATTGAAGATGTGCCGGTTCATTGCTGAAGGGATTGGACTAAGTGCCCTTTAAATGGTCCCTTCCAATTCAAACTATTCAGTGATTCTATGAAAGCTGCAAGCCATGGTCAGTAACCATTGTATCTAAAACAGGCACCTTTGAAGAAGTGGTCATCACATTACAGATAAATATCTCCAACCAAGAGATACAAACACTTGTCAAGTCACTAAATAACTGCTTTCTRTCCACCTGTATAGTGAGACACTGGTGTAACAGTGGTGGTTAACTATTTACCCAAGAATTTACCAAGACTCATGAGGAAACTACATCTTTATGAACTTAGACCAAAACCAGACATGTTTGATAGCTATCGAAGTGCTTATGGTAAAACAAAGATCTGTAGCTTCAAAACCTGGGCTCTACAGGATTTATAAAAGGTCTAATAAAAGTGCACTATTTCTTGCATCCCTGAGTATGGTATCCACACTCCAACAGGAGTATCAGTGAAATGAACCACTACCTTATTACAAGTTATTCCTCTGTAATCTGGCCTGGCTGCAAAAGCAAATTTATTTTTAAAAGGATCTTCAGAATTCATCTCCTYCCTTAAAAAAAGAGCACTACCGCTCGCTTGTCATTTTGAGAAAATAATGAAACGCTTCCTTTAATCATTTTGTGATATTCTRTATACTAGTATCCAGCATTATTGCAATTTAGCTGTAAAAAGCGAGCAATTTAGCTTTCAAAAGTTAGGGTCACTCACGTTTTGCTCCTCCCTCTCACCTTAATCAAGCCCTTTGTAATTTAGAGGTAGCTTACAMTAAGATAAACTCTTTGATCCCTTTCCTGTCCAGCATAAGAACCAAGATGAACAATGCACACTTATACCGAAAGTAAAAGTGAGCGATGCATAGCTATAGTGAAAGTAGGAGCAAAGGGTATTAAATATTGTACATGTCTATAACTAAGGATTGTATTAGGCCACTGTGTTTTAACAACTCAGGCATGAGCATAGATATTGCTGTGTTTTAATCCACAGTTCCAATTAATTAAATTTACCAGTCTGTGACCACTCTCAGTTTAAGCTCCACTATTTTACCTCTCCAAAATRTATTAAGTTTCAGTTGGATACACAGTGTGAAGGCTGGATAGCAAGGATAAGGAGGTGGTGGAAGATGTAACGGAAAAAATGCACAAGGGGATCTGGTTATGCAATGGGATACTAGTTATTTCATCAGCCAAACCTCATAATTTAYTCTCTCTACGTGGAATTAAACTGTTCTATATTTCTGTATAGCCTTTGCACAGAACATTTCAGGCTTTCACTTGCAACTCCTATTCTCTATACACAAGGACTGTTAGCGTTAGCAAATAAGCAGGAACACCTTACTGCTATCTTTTGACACCACTGGATTATTTCCATATCCCAGAACCATGACCTTATAACCAAACAGAAAACAAAGATAACCCCTCAACACTAACAAACAGAAAAAAAAAGAAAGCAGAAAAGCTACTATTGCTAGCTGGGTCCACAAACCATGTGCCAAACACCACCTAAATGCTGGATACTCCTGATGGCAAAGTGCTGGAATCAGCAGAATACACTGACTTAGCCCAGTTGTCAACGCAGTTCAGGCACCTGTCTTTTGATGAACCTCACTTTTCTTCTGGACCCTGTCTCAATATAGCAAGGATTTCCACATGTAATGTACTACTTACAAATGCCTGAGGAAGATTTTCATAGTTCTGCATTAAGAGAAAAAGAAATCAAAGTACTCTAACTAACATGCCACCAGGAATTCCTGCACAACTTGAAATGAAAAGCAAGTTTCTAGCTTTTTCTTTGTTCATAACTACATGCTAGATGTTTTATAGAATTTCTCCTTTTAAAGCCCAGGCAAAAAGCATCTGACTTTCAAATACATCCTTTCATCAAAACCCAAAAATTATTAAAAGTAAATTGTTCAGCTGGTTTGTGATTACATACCTTTACCCCTTATGTTAGAAATTAAAGAATTTCCCTAACTGATGCTAGCCCTAGGAAGCTGGCAATAGCTCAATTTATGGAAATGTTACCTCCTTAATAAATCACCTTTGCAATATGCTCAAAAACCCATCACAGCTGGCACGCTGTTTTTTTCCAAAGTTTTTAATGTCTGTATTTCTGCTTGAAAACGGAAGTGCAGTCTTTATAAACCACACCTATCTGAGCCACAGAGGAATAATTTTTTGTTCCAAAACGCTATGAATAGAGCTAACTGAAAGAGGAGACTTCATATTTGTTGAACAATAGCATAAATTTAAAAGTAATACCCATATGATTGTGTATTATATTGTCTGTGGTTACATAACTTGATGTGCATGCATTTTTTAAGGCATCTGACAGCAGAAGTTAGTAGTGATGCCTTTAAAGCAGGCTATACTCCACTGAACCAGGCTGAGCAGCTCAGGCATCTGGGGGGAAAATGCAAAGAAGAACAAGGCCACAGCCTCCTTCTCCACCTGCCATACTGAAGGAGTGCAAAATAATGCTAAAAATACTCCACAAACCACAACTGAAAAGCAGAACTATTAACAAGCTAAGGGCTGAAGCCTTCCTGACTGGCCTTGTGGAATCTTTTCCTCTWACCATTTAACAGAGACTTTGCTCTCAGTTTTGACAGTGTCAAAACAAGGTACTCACTCCTTTCTCAGGCCTGTTTCTTCTCTCATTTGCTCTTTTCATCTAGGTAACAAGCATAGCTGGGAAAGCAGCTTGGGTTTAGTTTTAATTATGCCACCCCATAATCAGCACACAGRGTGCCTACAGGAATGCCACGGAGTACATTTCAAACACACACAAAGGCGAAGTCTTCATAGGGCTTGCAGTTAAGCTGTCAAACTTCTTGGAAAAGGTTATCCAAGATACTAAATGTACCCCGCTTCAAACACATAATACACAGACTGTCAGACAGGGGGTGGTAGAAGTGAACACTCAGGACCTGCATAATGCTGAGGACTAACTGAGCAAAATGCTCTGCCAATTAATTTACCTCATCATTATACTCTATCCCTGGTATCCACTACCAGACATTACCCGGTACAAAAGCCGGAACTGATACACCTGCCTCTGACTTTTTAAAGAATGTTTCAGGTTCTGAGTAAACGAATATTAACTTCATAAATATATACAGCCTTATCATTCTATTACCGGCACGCACCTTTGTCACTAAGGGACAAGTAAGGACCTCTTGGCACAGGCACACATCCTGCAGCACCTATAAACATCTGTACTCGCCACGTACTGGTGGCAGTATCTGTCCCTGGCTGCACTAGATCACGGAATTATTAGGGCTGGAAGGGATGTCTGGAGATCACCCAGYCCAACCCCTGCCAAGGCAGGGTCACCCCAGGGCAGGTTGCACAGGAACGCATCCAGGTGGATACAGACGTGGAGAAGAGAGTGCTGCAAAACTTCCAAGGCAACACTMCGCTCCATGCACACTGCCTTTAATAATTAATGCGAGATGACACAGCTTTCGCTTCTCTTGAAAAATATTTTTAGCCAAGTGGAAGCGCTACGAAAGCCACCCTCTTTCCACGMTGCCTGCGTCGGCCCTCCCCACAGACCGCACCCCCACACAGACGCGGGAGGACCCCCGGGCCGGGGAAAGCCCGAGCTCTGCCCGGGTCCCACGCCGCAGTGAGCGAAGCCCCGAGGGGCGCACACGCCTCCCCCGCCACGCGTGTGCGCTTCTCTCCCGCTCCGAG